GGAGGGGGCCTTTCTGGAGTTCACAGCATAATGACCTTTGTATAATGACAGGGGTTAAACCTCACACTTGCATTGAAACTCTCTCTCGGTGCATAGGGCTAGCCAGCTGTTGGCTTGAGGAGGCCACTGGGCAGTGCCAGAGACAAAAGTATGTCCATCCCTCATCAGCCAAACCTGTCACTTTCTGCAGTTTGGAGACACTGGGTATGTGATGACCTTCACAGCAGCCCCAGGTGTCTTCCAGAATAGGCACCATCACAGGTAAAATGGGATTTACAGGCAGCCCATATGTCCACATGAGTTATCATAAAGTACAGGGTTCCTACAGCTGCACAGAGCCAGGGCAGGCACTTCCTAGCTTCAGCCTTCTTCTAATTCTCCTATGTTCTCATAGCAATGACAACCCTCAGAACAATTATACAACTTAAATACTTTGGAAAAGAACCCCAAATGAGGGGAAGATCAAAGGAAAGTCAAGCCGCTTCTTCCTTTCTAGTACTCAAAGCAAGGAAGGGTAGAAAAGCAGGGTCTGTGTTATTAGAAGGCTTCAACCTCATCCTTCTGAAAAGGCTTTCTTTAAAAGTCCAGAAAAAAACATGGAAAATGAAGCTTACAGGGAAATGACTGACTTAACTCTAGATGTACGCAAACCCAAACGTTTTAACAAAACTAAATGTGTCGCATCAAAGCCAAGGTTAGAAAGCAGCATGCACTCAAATATTTTAAAACAATGTCAAAAGACAAACCAAAGCTGTGAATGAAAGTTCCAAAGGCAACCTTAATTCTAATAGTTCCTCAGTTTGCTCTGTTTGACTTTCACCTTCACTAGTATTGTTTGAAATCAGTTGCCTTTTTTTGGATAGTTCCTAGATTTTGAAAGGCAACATTAAAAATACAGAAATTCTGTTATGTGGCACATGAACATCTGGTTAATCAACAGCTTTGAGCATCTGTGATTCATCACAGATTTCTGACACTTAGGGTAATGGAATAGCTGACAGTGCTAATATACTCATTTTCTACAAGGACCAGTGTTATAAGCAAATAGCCATTTTGCTAGTAGGTTTTCAAATATTTACTGACTACAAAGGAATCACAAAGATTGGCTTATGAACCCAACCTTGAAACACACATGGACATATTTGCTTCACCCTACTCCCCCTTTCCCCCGTTACCAATTTGTTCCCAGTTTCTTCTCTGCCTCCAAGTCCCTCTTTTCAATTTTGTGATCCCCCTTTCCCTCACAGCTTCAAATCAGTCCCCAAGACAGCTTGTGACAGCTACCTACTCATACCAGCCTCTCTCCTGGTCAGCTTGCTTTATTCAACTCAATCCACTGCTAGGAGCTCTGTCTCTTATTTTTGGTTTCCTCTAGCTCTGCATTTGTCTCTCCTCATACAAATCAGTTCCCTCCTCCATTCCATTAAGGTGTCTGGGAGGAGGCAAGATGGAGAGTTTGGCAGAGAACATGAGAAGCAGTGTCCCTGCTTTCCATCCTAATCCTAGCTGAGGGCAGCTGAAGTCAGTCATTTATGGAGCAGGTTCCTTAGAGCCCCTGTATCTTGCAGCAACATGTAATCAGTGAGTGTAGCCCCAGTCAAGGCATACACATCCTAAGAAGAAGGGAGACTTTTCACAGTAGTATATTGGGATATTTTTAGTGGCTGAAATTGTCATCTGTACTGAACTGCTTACTTTCCAGAAACAGTAAAAGGTGCCCTTATCTCTTTTAATAGGTGTACTTCCCAAAGTTTTCAAATAATGGGCCTTGAAGACAGAATTATTAAACCAGTCACTGAATGGCATTATTGTCAACAAACATACTTTCCTCGGGTGTCTTTGATGAAAACATTGCAGCTGTTTTGGCTGAACTCTTTAAAATCATCGGAGGGCAGTAATTGCTGAGGGCATAAATCAAGCTAAATGGTTAACTTTCAGCTATGTTCCAATTAGTAGAGAACAAGGTCTTACAATGGAAAGAATCAGGGAATAAATGACTGTAACTGCTTACAATTTAGTAACAAATGGGCTAACAAAAGAAAGTACTGTGAGAAGAATATGAATGTTTTACCAATTTCTCTTCTCCCAGAGTTTCCCCCTAGTCCCACAATGAGCTCCTCCTGCTGCCTTCCTCAGGTGTTATTGAGTACCTGGGAAACAAATAAAGGAATGAATGAAAACCCTGACTATGCTGGACAATCTCACTCAACAGTGAGATGTTAAGGGGAACAGCCAGAGTAGAGTGACAGGCTGATGGGAACAGTCAGTCATTTTGTTGTTCAGGTTGTAAGGCACTACAGAATTCAAACAGATCAAAATGGAAAGAGACAGTAGTACCTATGGGGTATACAGACACCATGTTTACAAAAAAATCCCTTACCTTTCAGGCATGGCCAGCTGCACAACCTTAAGGCAGGATATTTGTCTGAGGTTGAACTGCTCTAGAGCTCCCAAACCAAATTTCAATCCTCCTTGCAGAGAAGGGAGCCCTATAATACTGTCCTGAATTCACTGATACTTGCTTGAAAAGCTCAGATAATAAACTGGTAGGATAAGGAAATAGGGATTCACTTGCATCTTCACAGATCTAGTCACAGGGAACCAAAAAGCTAGGGTTTATATGGTCAAGGAAATTCATAGAATAAGGTGGGTTTTTTAGCAATTCAATTGTTAATTTAAAAATGTGGTCAGATGGGCACAGCAAAAGAAAACAGCCAACCAAATCAAAAGCTCCCTTCTCTATAAACTAAGCAAGTAAAAGCTGCCTAGAGCACAAAGTTACAACTGAAACTGCTTGACTGAAGTCAGCCAGACGGATTTTAAACCCAGCTGATGGATCCTGATTGATCCAGCTGCCTCCTACAGCTTCTTTCTGAATTAGTGGATACTGGTACAGAAACTTGAATTTATATTATGGTAAGGAAGCTGCTGAGCTGCTAATGTCTTCATCAGCCTGACATTTCTTGTCATAGGCAACAAAAACTCAGTGAGAGTACAGGTGGTCTCCTTTACAGAGGACGATACCCACCTTCTCTTCTGTTTCCAAGCGAAGAAAATTCTATGTTGAAAAGGTTAGCGGCCTGATCCCAATGACAGATTTCTTTTTCCTTTTTTTTTTTTTTTTTTTTTTTTTTTGTGAAAAGTCATATAATTTACAGCAGAAGCTACTTCCAAATTTGTGGAGTCATGATCAGCTCTGTAAGCCTTCATAGTGACTGCACAAGAACAATTTCAGACCTTCAGAGCATTCAAGATTCTTAGACTCATGTCCCCACATGTGATGAAGCAGCGTTGTGACAGAGCATCCAAAAAGGTTTCCTCCAGCTTGGGCTTTTCTGATCATAACTCTGTTGTGTTGTTTCACTCTCATTTCAGCTAACCAGGAATTTTAGGTAAGATGACTAATTCTTCCTGGATTTGTCTGGTATGTCAGATGTCTGTAGGCAGCAGACCTACTATGCAGGTAGTTTTGGCAGAGAGCTGGAGGGAGGAGGAGTTATACTCCTTAAAGACACTTCCATTAGGTTTATCTGCCTTAAGCCCGATTGCCTGTGTTGTCTATCAAATGTGGCCTTGACTTTAAGCACAGACTTTGCTTTTGGTTTAGACAGCAAGACTGTTTTAGAGCTGCAGTGAAGGCTCCTTTGGTGGCTTAACATCTGGACAGGGTGCCTGCAGGGTAGCTGGCAGGCAGCTGTGTGGCCAAGGAGAACATGTGTTTATGGCCACTGACAGCAAGCGCTCAGCATATTAGTGCAGACACCACCCACAGACTTCTTGGGATCAACACTATGATCAGGCATAATGTGCAAAAATGTATGCTTTAATTTTACACCAAAACTCTTTATATGAGGCTAGGTAGGAATTCTTCTGGTAAATAGTCTGTGTGACATAAAATGGAGTCACTTACATGATCTGAAATTTAGTCATGAAAACTGGAATTTCTATATGCAGAGAACAGTACCGCATCAGAGCATATTTTCATCCTGGTAGTACTGTAGTAACAACCCTTCAGATTTCTGTTGATTGCATCATTCTCCAAAAATTACCTCTTTTGGATGAAATTTCTCTTGCTTAGTCTCAGACAGAAAGTGAACGGTAAAAATCTGTTCAGCCATTTTTATGTCATCAAAACTAATGCTGACTTTCAACCATGTTATATGTGTGTGTCCATGAGGAACTTACTAGGACAATATATCTCTTATACTCCAGATATTTTACTGACTTTATTTTTATAAGAAAGAAGACCAGGTAAAATAGTAATGGTTCACCGACTATAATTGACCAAACCCCCACAACAAAACAAAGCCAGACTCCCAAAGCATTGAAATTATCTCATTTATCTTAAGGAAAAAAAAAAAAAGTCAAATCACAAAAAGCATTTTGGTCAAATTTGATGTTACAAAACATTTTTATATTTATTTAATATCACGTTCTCCTACTCTGTAGTTATACGGTATATTTTCTGAAAAAATAATATGCAAACAGATTATTGCATAACACATCTCTTCCAAATTAGCCCAGAAATATTCACTAAATTAATTTTTAACACAATAAGAAAAGTGTTTTAATATTTTACTTTTAAATTCCAGAGAGTTTTATCACATAAGATATTCTGTGGAAAGCAGCACCTATTTACCTCTTTGTAAGCCATTACGAAGATGGAACTGGCCTCTCAGACAAAATAACAGAGGTGATTAAAACACAAGCTGAATAAAGAAGCTCACCAAGTGGGTTCTTGCAGAGTGAGTATTTCACTTGGCTGTGCGTGTGGAATATTTTGCATAATGGTCTACAGACCTTCTAGGATTTTGCTATTACAGAATATACATATACATAGTGCTGAGACACAGAGAAGTGGTATTTCACATTATGTCTATGCTTGTTTAGGGCTCACTGTCTATGTGGAATGAGTAAAAGTAATATTAAAAGAAAATAATTATTAAACAGAAAATATTTCATTATGCAAACAAAGAGAAATACTGTATTTTAGTTTAGAGACAGTTCAAGCATGTACAGCATATACATAATAAAGCTCAGGCGTTTGGTTTTTTTTTGTATTAGCTAAAGAAGCAGTCATGAAACTGTTGTATATTGGCTTAAAACTTGACAACCACCTAGTGCATTCTTCTTGCTCACCTTTTAAAAATACACAATCTGAGATGGATACATTGCACTGCTGGAGTTTACAATATATATTTCAAATTTACAAAAATACAGAAAAACAAGATTTCTTGCACTCAGATACTGAGCATTAACCCTTTGAGTACTAATTCCCACCTGCAACACTGCAGAACACATTCATCTGACTTACATGTTTTTATAACATTCTAACAATTATAATTGTCATCTTTATGTACACTATTAGGAAATGCATTCCTACATATTTTAAAAAAAAAGGTAGAGACTAATAAACTGCTAGTAACAGAAAAATAATGGGCTGAAGTATGTGAAGATTTTTTGCAACATATACACAGAGAATTGCAGGCTGATGATCTCTCAAGGGAATTTTCTACTTCCTCTCTGCAGCAATGTAGCAATTACATAAGCCTGTGTGAAGACATGACAGCAAACTTTCTCATGTGGCCATACAGAATTGTGCTTTTTCTCTTACTTATGGATGCACTGCTCGCTTTCCACTGTAGACATTTTTCTCACAGCTCTGTGCTCCTATTCGCTTTCTATGATCCCTTATTATTCTGCACCCTTCCTATTCGAAAAAAGAAGTTTCATTTCATAGAGGGTTATGATGTGGTTCTGTACTGTGAGTTGAAGCTTTGTGTCCAGATGTTCATGGAAACATGAAAAAATTTCTTGCCAAGAGCCTTGTTAATAGAGAATGGTGCTGACCCTGGAATGCCCTACAACTCCGCAGAAATCATGAACATAAAGAACTTCTCTGAAGGTCAAATTTGCATTAAAGGATGAAGACAATCTGAAATTTGCTCGGGGAGGAAATGGGTTTTCAGAAAGCAAGTGGTGAAAATAATAGTGGACTCTAAGAAGGTGTGTTTTTGGAAAATTACTGAACTTTCTCTTTCCTGACAACTCTGGACTACATTGATCATGTAACTAAATAGACAATATCATATATACAGTGTCTCTGAACTAGAATATGCTACTTTAAGAAAATAACTGTAGTCCTCAAAGAGTTAATGATAAAACTGCTCTACCTTAACAGATGTGGAAAGGTCATCATGAAACAGCTTACAGATTTGTTCAAAAGGCATACTTTACAAAGAAGTGTAAAACTTGTTGAGACAATTGCTATTACACCGCACAGTGTCACATACAATGAGTAGTGCATGCTCTGTAAAGACATTAGAGTGGACCCTTATCAAAGCTATCATATAACCTTATACAAAGGATTGTGCCACTTAAACTAGTGCAGAGTGATTTTTTTTCTGTAGATTTATAATGCTCTAGATTAATATCAATAGGGTTTTTCACAGCCTTGTACAACACTCTTTTTTTTGTTCTTTTTTTTAACACATGTAACACTAGAAAACAGCAAATGGTATATCCTGACATATGTCATGCAAAATACAACCAATACAGCACCATAGATGTAACAGAGACATTACCTAGCACTTCTCTCCAACAAGAAAAAGGACAGAACAGAGACTGTACATTACACGACTTTACAGGCCATATGCTACAGAAGATCTTTAGAGGCAGTATCACTTTTGTAGATCTAAAAAGCCATAATTTTATAAAATACTGTTTATCAATTCTACCATAGTCACTTCTGATTAAAATCCATGGCACAGTAATAGTATTTTGCTACAAAAATAAATAAGTAAAAGTTTAAGATGCTGATATGTTTATAAAAACTGTCTGAAGTTACTACAGAACAAAAGTGAAAACAATGAATGAAAGTGATATATTTCTGAAGAAATGTTGTTCTGTGTAACAAAAGGATATTGCCTCTCATATTCAATTGTCCAGACTTCATTTTCTGATTATCTTTCAGTATAATTTTATAACTTTCTTTTAAAAATAACTTCACTTTAAAACTGTCACTATCTCTCTCTTTTAGACTCTTATTAAGAAAATGGAAATAAAGATGGAAAAGCTGTACAGTTTACTGATGAGCTACACAAATATTTCATCTTACTTAGTTTGGAATGAAAACAAAGATAATGATGGCTAGGGAAAAGAACACATTATGAGGGCCCATGAACTACACAGTAGTTTCATTCTTCCAAGGGCCAGTTTTGATATTTCCTGTACTATCTGAGCTGTATATCATGGCTTCATGCACGTTTCCCTTGAGAATTCCATTGTGATTTGTCGTATTAAATGGCAATGACTGTGTCCGTGGGTGCATTTCAAAATGAGCTGGATGGTGCACAGTGTCACTTTCTGGCATTTTAGCACAACTATATATTACAGTACTTGCATCGCTACTTTCGGGCTGGTTGACAGTAGGATATGGATCACTTTTTGAGCAGCAGGCCCGTCTGTGACCTGACTGGCTATCATGTGTACTGTGGGGACTGTCTGTATGTGAGCTGTGGATGCTGCCGTCGATACTTGAAGGAATGTGATAGGCATATTCTCTTTCACCTGCAGACCTATGCCGACTGAAATAACGTGGCTTAGTTCTGCTTTTCAGACATCTATGAATGTGCATATTGGGTCTGAAGGTTCCCTCGTTGTGGACGTGAATGTGAGCTTCGTCATCAAGTAGCTGATCACAGTGCATTTTTGCACAACATGGTGTCACAGGCGAAAGGCAGTTAACATGATTTTGAACTGCCTGTAGGTTAGTAAGTTTGCAGTGGCTAGCTGCTGGGTGATTAAACACAGCTGATTTGTTGGGACATGGTGATTCCTGAAGACAAGGTGCATGAACTTGAGTGTCACCATTGACGTTAACCTTTGGGCGCACATTAACTTGTACAGAATAGGTGTTTCTTCTAGATGGGCAACAGGACCACCAGCAATGCCACACATCATCTCGCTTTGCACAGTGATGGATCAGGATAAAAAGCCCCAAGGTCACACAGAAGGCTCCGTAAAGACAGCTAAATATCATATCCAAGAAATGACCTTGAGATACTGCAAGTGCTCCAAAGGTCCAAGTGGCAGTAAACAGAAACAAAGTGAATGCTGCAGCTCGAAGCTGAGCCTTAAATGAATGCTCATTTTCCAACAAGGAAGAAGAAATCATGGAGCAGGTTGCCTGGGGAACAGGCACAGAGTCTGTAATATGACCGTGGCTCACTTCAGTACTTGGCATTCTCTGCGGATCTTCTGTCTTTTCCTTTAATTCATACTTGCGTTCAGGATGGCGCTTCAGTTGCACATAAGTGCAGAGAAAGTAAACACAGGTGACTAGCACAATGAATGCTACTGGCCCATAAAAAGCACCGAGACTAGGCTCCCATGCCATCCAGCAACTGAAAACAACAAGAAAAGACAGTCAAGAACATTTTATAGCCCACGTTAGATGTGATGAACAACTGACTGATGTGAAACTGGGCTTTCTAACTTGCATGACCCAACAGTGTCTCTGAAGTTCAGATATATTCGTTGTGGAGAAAGGGAGTGCATCTTTAATAGCAATTAAGCTGATGCATCACTTTCATATTTTTTAATAGAATAAAATGTCTAGTATACTTTACAGGATATTAGAGCTGAAAATTTCTAAGAAATGTGGGTCAGTTTATAATATAGAATTGCAACAAAGTATAAGACCATTTATGTGAACACTTTTTTCTACTATTAAAAATGTCAGTGCTAATACTTCGATTAAAAAGGAAATGAGGCATATTTTATACAACCTGTATGAGCAATAGAAATGTACAGATTTCATTGGATTGTATTGATGAACACTGATATAAACTCTTAAGCCTGAAGATTGTTCCTACAGAATTTTCTTGTTGCCAAAGTAGAGAACAGCCTGAGTAATAAGAAAGGCTGAAAAAAAGACTTCCAGTTGAACAGTCACTGCTTTCTGCAGTGAGCAGACCCAAAAGATAGATGCAATTTTTCTGTATACTCCACTGTTTCTGAAATTCCTTGGAGTTAATTTTCATCAATTTGAATGTCCTCGGAAAAATTAAGGAAATTGATGGTCTCTTTGTGATACACTAGTAGCGTAATATTTTTGTAGCATGGATCATTATTAGTTAGGCTTGAAATAATATAACCATAACTGTTTTAAAGCAGCCTAAAGTAGTTCACAGGCCAGTATGAAATGAGTAAGTCTCAGTTCAGCTGCATAATTCAGTAGCAGTCTAACAGGACTGCCCTGAGGATGAATTATCTAATCAAACAAACATGGGGGAAGGAAACACCTCTGGCTATTGAAATCCCAGATGGAAACTGGGACAACTTGGGTCAGGGGGAGAAGGAATATTTGCCCAGTTTTACTCTTCTCTATGATCTGTTTTTAGCCATCATTACAGTCAGGGCACTGAGCTGGTGGCGTAAGCTAGTACAGTTGTTATTAGGTTCCTATACTCTATATATATCATGGATTTCTGGAAGAAGGAATAAGTTACTTTCCTTAGTTGTTGGACTAGGACAAGAAATAATGGATTTAAACTGCAGCAAGAAAGGTTTAAATTAGATTTTTCAGAAAGTTTCCTAGCTGTTAAGACAATTAGGATAATGAGCTGTTGGAATAAAGTGTGGTCTATCCATTATCAGATCATTTAAAGAGCCTCAGATAAGTAAGTGTCAGGAATGGTTTGGATATAGCTAATTTCCCACTGGGTCAGAAAGACATACCAGGTGATCTGTCAAAATCCATTCCAGCTCTAAAAGTGACACTGTGTGACACTTCATACTCATTTAGGTATGTGTGATTGTTTGCAGTCCCTCCAATACAGGGAGAAACCATCTGATTCCATATTCTTGTCAAGCCAGGAATCATCTACCAGTTACTATAAAAAGGGCAGAATTCATTTTTCTCTCAGGCTGAAAACCTCTCAGCTAAAAAGAGGCAGTACCACTGGGTATTTATCACAAGCAACTGCAGAATAACTACTTTAAATTTTTAAAATCTGAACTTTAAACAAAAACATACACACATTTATTAATAAACTCCAAGGAGTATATATTTTGCTGTTAGTCATGCACATGAAAAGATTCCCTGAAAGATATCTGTGAAAAGATAGGTAAGTTACCACCTATATTTAACTGGATAAGCAGAGACCACAAAGCTACATGGATACTTCAAGTACATCTGAATGCTGCATATTTGATGCAAAGTGGAGAATGGAATGCTCCCCGGTGGAACAGTTTCTTAGAATGTTCTTATTTCACATGGAATGTCATCGTGGATCACTTAAAAAATCAGTTCTGTAGTAAAGGTTTGTGCATCTACATTTACCATACTAATACTATTAAAAATGAATAAGACATATAACTCACTATGCTGTTGTTGAATTAGAAGCTATCTTTTTATTCAGTCTTATAACCATCCCTCACCTAAGCCTTGTTTTTTGTACAGACTGTGGTACCAGGTATTGATTTGCTATGATTAATATGATTAAAGAAGTATAACCTCTGTAACTGTGCCAAAATGAAAAATGTCTCACATTTATGGACACAGATAATTGAGTCTTTTAATATACTGTTGATTATAAGCGATTGTCTAACTGGATAACTTTGAATAAATATATGAATATGAATTGGGCCCTAGGCAGAGCAGTTAGCCATTGTATGTACTAATTTATATCCAGAATCCAAATTTCAGTTATCTATAAAAATGCCTTTAACGAGGCAAATGATCACTTACAAACCGTTGTCCTTTGTTTCTACTTTTCTTACCCAGAACATAGCTAGTTTCAAACGTATTACAATAGATGCTCAAAGTAGTAAGAGACTGATGTCCTCCAGAATACCAGTGCTGGCAGAGTAGTAATATATCCATCAGTGTGCCAGTCATTGTCATGATGGTCATTTACCTAGAACGTATTTAACTTTGCAGTCTGATTCGTTTTCTGCTATATTTTTATGGAAAGACTTATTGTACTTTATTGATCTCATGTTTCATGCCAAGAATTAACAATGTGATGCCCAGACAGCTTGTGAAGGTATATTGAACACTAAAACACTAGAGGGCTATGTCAGGACTGCAAGACATTGTGACTGGAACATTTCCAGGTAGTTAAAATCCAAACTAATTGGTTTTTAAGGGAGGGATGGGGGTGGAGGAGGGACTTATATTTGTCCTTTTTTCACATAATTATTTGTAAATTACTTTAAATAAATCACCTGAAGGATATCAATTTAAGGTAGATAACAAAAGTATTTAATTAATTAGTTGCTCCATTCACTATGCTGTCCATTAGGTATTTTTAATATCTTTTCACTTATTTGGATGTAAATGAGGAGTAATTCTGTAAATGAAAAGTGATTATATTGACCGTAATGTAGGCAGATTCATAGAGCTGAAGCAGTAAACCCCAGATTAAGACATTGCTCTTTCATAGCTATTTAATAAAATTTCATAATAAATATAAACCCAAATGGCATGTCTAGATCATTTATGAAGTCAGTTAAATTTACTGGTGTAAGAAGAAGAGTATGTTTTCCTTAAAAGTTTTATGATAATAGTTTATACTTACTATGGTGCATTGCCTTCAATCCCATAATTATTGATATTGGTTGCTGCTGTAATTCCACATATAATAAAAGGAACTCCACCACTAATCAGGTAAAATCTGTTGAGAGATAATAAAAAATATTTTAATTGGCATGACTTGTAGCTGAATACAAATAATTATACCTTCATGAAGTATTTTGGGTATACAATATTCCTGAAATATTAAAGATGTCCCTAAAACCAGAAAAGCAATAGGTATTGTCACAATAAACACTGTACTTTATGAAGCAAACAGCAGAAAGCTTAATATTTAATATTTATATGGACCCACTTTTAACAATTGATTGATTTACGTCTTTAGTGAATGTAGTTACTATTGCAGTCATATGAAGAACAAAATCTTGTCTAATGGAAAATCTACATCCCAAATAACATCATTCCACTCACCTAGATATTTATATTTTATATTTATTAAATATATAACAATTATAAATTAAAAATATTCAGGCAAAGCAGCTGTATTCACTTTAACCTGAAAATGTTCCCAGGGAAAATCGGTGAAATCACAGAAACATTTTCCTAACTCCTGCATGACAAAAGAAATGGAATTCAGTTAGGCAAAGAGAAAAGGGGCTATACACTTGGCAAAATGTTTTTGTTTATGTTTTTGGTTTTTTTCCGCAGAGGAGCAATATGGAGAAATCAGGAGGATTAAATAGCCCTTTGCATAGCTTAAATTTTTCTTCACTCCTTCCATACCCAGCCTTGCAAATGCATTAAAATGTGAGGGCCTCTAAGACTTCAGCAAGATTTCATAAATATCCAAGAAGAGTGTTAAACTAAGTGTTATTGTTTCTGTAAAGACTTGTATTCGAAGACTGAGAGCACATAGATTCACACCCCTTTAACCTGTTAAATGCCACCAAACTACTCAAAAGTAGCAGTCATTCCAATGTACAATCATTAGGCTAGATTAAAGTCCTAAGGCATGTCTCACTGAACTTGGCATCCTGCATCAAATTCAGCAAAATAAACCATCATCACATCTTCCATGTATATAAGTGAAACACAAAGTTATGGATGGAGCACAGCACTTCCACCTCTGCGGTCTCTGAGGTGGAGGCCATGCATGTGAGGTTACAGCTGGAAGGAATGCTGCTCAGTGACAAAAGTGAAAATGTTCCACTGCACCGAGAAGCTTCAGCTGGTTCTCTGAACATCCTGACTCATTTCCTGGTTTAACCAATACTCTTCTGTCAGTAGACAAAATTAGTTTTATTTCAAGCCACTCTTCTAGTGCGGGAAACAGCATGCAGGGATACAAAGGCTTCCCAACCGCTGCTATTATGTTGTCCATCAGGACTAAGAGGAACCTGATAATGTGTGGGACACATTCTGGCCACTCGTTTTCTACAATGTGTTATAAATATTGGGAAATTTCAGTCAGTGCAAGGCAAGATTTTTACAGAACAAAGTTACAGTAGGACTAAATAAATCAGCATTTAAATCAGACCCAAAATTAGCGTTAGAATTTCCTAACCTCTTTTCCCCATCTCCTTCTGAAGCAGAATTTGAGCCCAGGCCTCAGAAAATTTCATGTTAACATTTACAGTACCATCTTTGTCCTAATGGTCTAAGCTGTAAACAGAGCAGAGAAAATCATCTTCCACATTCATCAAAAAGCCCTTCAGATTTTATAACTTCAAAGTCATTAAGTATATATTTTTTCTTCAAACTTGGCTTATTCTGTGGAGCTCAACAAATTCCAACGAACAAGCTGCCTCCTTACAAAATCCATTCATTCACTGCAGTTTAATGATTGTACATATCTTTTGACTTGAGCATGTTGAATAAGCTAGCTTAATAGCTTATTATTAATTTTAACAAAGACATATTCAATGACATTTCTGAAATTCAGGAAATTACTAGGGTAAGCAATGAGGCATAGAAAAGTTAATCCAAATTTATCTAAGAAATAGTAAGGAGCAGAATAATAGGAATACAGAAGCAAGTATAGGAAACTGCACTTCAAACTCATCTGAAGTGATTACACCATAGAATTTACCTACAATACAACCTATAATTTCATTTTTTGCAGTGCCACCACTTTTTACAGATTGGATACACACATTTAAATCATATTCTTATCTCAAGTCTCAGACAAGTCAGTATTTGGGTGTTAGATAATCTACTTCATATCTCACACTTTCAGCAGGCTGCTGAAAACAACAGTAGCATCAGATGTTCTGGAAGCACTTAGCTACACAGTGCTTCAGAAATGTGGCAAAATCTAGCCAAATTCCTGTCCTGGCTCATTGCTAAGACAAAGAAAATATATTCTAGAAATAACATAACATGAAGTCAGATGGTTTCAGTGTACTTGAGGGGCACTGTACTGATAACCAGCACAGCACACTGCCTGCCCTGTCTCAATGGAAAAAAGTAAAATGGCAAACAGAAATGACACTGTATACAAATGATTATTCATTGGTGGACTTAGGATTCTTGAAGGGTGAAGGGAAAAGAAGTCTGCCAAATAGAAGAAAAGTCAGCAAGAGAGGAATGGGATTAAAATAGAATGAACAGAATATATAATCAAAGAAATGGAAGTTCAATTGTAAGAGCAGGACTACATACTCTTGCCCATTTGTGTGAGCTCATGTATACCTTAAACAGCATACAAAGAAGAAAAGACCACACTGGAAGTTACCAAAGAGAAGAAACATTGCTCAAGAGGATCCATATACATGTTACTTGTGAGGAAGTACACTTAAAATTAAGAATATATTGACCAGTCTCTCCAAACATTAGTTTCTATGCAATCATTAAGTTTTATTTTTTTCATTTCTTCTTTTTCACTTAGATGAGATGATTAGGCCAAATAATTTTGAAGAAAAAGATGAAGTAGAATTGATAGGGTATGAATAAAAAGTGAAGAAAATGCAAGTAAATAGCTATGCTTCATACTTCTAGAAAACCTTTTATCTAAGAGAATCAAAGTGCTTTATAACATTAATTAATTTAGCCTTACAGCCCCCTGTGTGGTTGATAAACATTATGATCCCTATTGTACAGATGAGTCAACAAGCAAGGAGAGATTAAGCATTCAAGGTCACGAAGAAAATCTGTTACAGAACAAGACTTCTTAATTCCCATTCTACGTTTAAACACAAGGCAGCTCGCTATTACTGTAAATGAAGGGACTGGGCAAATCATGGCACCTAGGAGTTTGTCTCCAAGCCCAAGAAACATGATCCCCTCTGTGTAAATTCAAGCAGGAGCAAGAAGAAGATAATCTTATGTGAAGGATCCCCTGGTTAGGGTGGTCCCTCCCAGTATTCACTAAGCCTTGCCAGTGACTGTTACTCCTTGCAAAGCCTGACTTGTGGAGGAGGAGCCTGTGTGCACTTCCCTGTGCAGCCGTAATACTAACATCCACTGGTATTTCCTATAGCACTGCCTGGGCATGTACACAGAACAGCTTTTCCAGACCAGTTAAAGTGGTTCAAATGTAAGGGTTGTAATTGGAGAGACACTCACTCCTGCTGCTTTTGCTGCTGCAGCCAACTTCTGGTGACTTTCAGCCATACAAGAGCAAAAGTAAGGGGCAATACTCCTGTCCAGTAATGCTCATTTACAGAACAATATAATAAAGCAGTACTGGAAGGATGTACCTTGTAGACTAAGCAAGTACCTGCGTTTCAACCATCTTTTTTCCCCACCTCAAATATATTTTCTTATTTGGAAAATAATGACCAATCTTTTTCCTACACTGTTTGCCTAACTAACATTTACTATTTCCTCTCATGACTATCTGTTGGTTTTAAACTTTTAAAAGTCTATCCTTTGGTTCAGTAACCAGCTTTTGTCTTCCAATTATCTTTTCTACTTTTGAGATAATATTCCTCATTAAGCCAATGGGCTGTCTCCTCTTCACAAAAGAAGATGCAGTAACTCAGGACCCAGACCCAATTTCATGTACTTGTGTTACTCTTCTACCATTCAACAACGCAAATGGTGATACTCAGGCTATCAGTAACGAAACTCTGTAGGCTGCAGTAAGAAGAGAGAAGAATCCTGCTTTGACAGATGTGACTGTTACAATGGAGCCAGCTAACGCTGTAGTCAAGATAGCCCTGCATGCAAATCTCTAAAGACTGGGAAATGACAGGAAGGAAATTAAAACTTTTTTCAGCCAAAATTTGATTTTGACAAGCAGTTACTTTATATGATATTTTAAAATTGTTTTACAGGGAAAACTGTAAACTATATGTGGGATGATTTGGGGCTTTGAAGTAATTGCCAAGCTGTTGCTTCAATAGCCCTTGGGAAGAGTTTTTAAAACTTGTACATTGTTGTTGCTGACCACCCAGGGATGTCCTGATGATTCCTAGCAGGCTTTTTCATCAGCATACATTTATTTACTGAAGCTCATTCTATCACATCCGCACTAATATTGTTATCCAAGCTAATTAGATTAAAGCTAGCCTGGTAGGCCTCAGCTGCACTTGCACCTCTTAGTTGCAGTGTAGGGAACACCTACAGCCTGAAAACCAGGCTAAGCAGACATGCTCAAATGATGTGCAGTGAATTGTGGGGGGAGGAATCATACTCACTGAACATTAGAGCGTGTGAGAGACTGAAATGTCCTATGACTGTCATAGCTTGCTTGTGTCTGTGCAAACCTCCAAGAGAAGCTGCCGTGGCCTGTGACTTGGTCTGGGGGATGCTGCCCAGAGAAGTGGCAGTGTATTCAACGATGCTCTCTCCACTTCTTGGCGGTTGCATTGTCCGGACTCTTTACATAAGCCTCAAAGGGTCAGACATGGACTGACTGGCCCCATCCTGGAGCCGTTTGTGGCTCTGTTGTGCAGGCCAGACCCCATGCATGCACTGCTAATGAACAGATGAGAGGCAAACGTTCCTGCCCTTGAAGCCGGATGCAACAAAACCTGTTAGACCATAGGAAAAAAAAAACTAAAGGCGAGCAGATCTGCTGATCAGCTGGTACAATTAACTTAAAAAGGCAGCAGAAAATCTTGCTCTGTGCATCTGCCATTGAGGCCTGATCCATGCGCACCCAACCACTGAAGAACTGAAGGCTGAGGACCAACGGGA